TTCATTAACACATTTATTAGTAAAAGTTTTAACATACTGTTCATATGCAAAGGAAACTAAAGCAAAAATCCATGAATCATTCAGATGATTCCTTTTACAAAGGCTAGGCAGGATGAAAAAAGAGATGATGGGGAAGCCAGGGAGGTGAGCTGCTCCACTTGTTCTCATCCCTCCTCCCTTATTCCAGGCCTCCGAGTGTTTCCTCCCACACCCCATCCCCCAGCCTCCCCTGGGAGCAGAGTTTGAAAATCATCCATCTAATCCAACCCACTTATTTTACAGATAAGTAACTGAAGTCAATCTCACCCATTCACCACAGGCAGCTGCCTTTTTATTTGTTTTACATTTGGGGGGATTGGTAATTTATTTGGGGGAAAAGAAAAGTCTTATGGCTAATGAACAATTTGAAAATCATGGGACTAGGCAACTGGGCTAGTTCATTCTGTTTATTTGTCTAGAAACAACAGAGATCTGTCCAAGTTATTTCAAATGTTGTGAGTAATCGTGAGGGTGTGATATTTGGGTTTATATACCACTCACATGCTCTTATTCTCTCTGAATTATTAAAAACACAGCAAAGTAAAAATCATACGTGATCATATCTTTTACAGTTACATAAACTACGAAATAGGGAAAAAAAAATCTTTCTTTTCTCCCCTGAGAGAGTCAAATAAATGGAGGACCTGCCAAAACAGAACCACCCCGCCCAGGAAGAAATGGATGCATAGAATGTCCCACCCAGGGGAAAGGGATGTGCCAGTCCCTACCCATCTGACCTTTAAAACCTCCATCCACCTTAACCCACGTGCTGACTTCCTTCTGGAACTCCGCTCACCCACACCCGGGTGGGAATAAAGGCCGCTGTTGCCCACACAGAACCTGGACTCCATTTCCTTTCATTTCATGTTTCGGAACAATCTTTTATTTTCGGTCTTTGACTTCTCCTCCCCTGAGTCTCAGTCTCCAGGGGATAAAACAAAAATCTCTTGGATGGTTTGGTTCCTGACCCTCTCGGCTTTTCTCTGTGCTTATGCAGACATATCTAGATATTCTTTTTTGATCAAAAAGTTATGGGCGGCGCCTGTGGCTCAGTGAGAAGGGTGCTGGCCCCATATACTGAGGGTGGTGGGTTTGAACCTGGCCCCAGCCAAACTGCAAAAAAAAAAAATAGCAAGGCATTGTGGCCAGCACGTGTAGTCCCAGCTACCTGGGAGGCTGAGGCAAGAGAATGCCCAAGAGTTGGAGGTTCCAGACCATACAAACAGATCTACCTCATCCTTTTTAATATGTTTAACTTATTTTTCAAAATTTCAGATTAATATAAGGATACAAATGATTAAGTTTCATTGTTTGCGTGTGTTAGGTAAAGTCCAATTGTAGTTGAGTCCTTCCCCAAGGAGGTGTCCCATATACCCCTACCTACATTGTGCCCATTGGGTGAGAACACACCAGTCCCTCTCCCGTCTTCCCTCTCCCGTCTTCCCTCTCCCGTCTTCCCTCTCCTCACCTCTTGGATTTAATTGTGTTTTCCTCCTGTGTGGGTGTCTAGTTGTTCATCTACCATGGTATTTTTCACCCTTTTTTATCTCACGGCGCACTTAAACCTATAGTTGAACTTCCATGGCACACTTAAATTATGTTGATCAAAAAAAATGAGTAAAAAAGGAATATGCTTTGTGCTTTGAACTTCTTTGGAAAATAATTCCATTAATGGCCTCAAAAAATTTCACGGCACCCTTAAGATTCTCTCACAGCACAGTGGCTGAAAATCACTGATGTACTGGTTTCATATTAGTATTGAACACATTGGATACTTGCTTTTCCGTTCTTGTGATACTTTACTAAGGAGAATGTTCTTCAACTCCACCCAAAATGGTGACAGCTGGGAATTTATTTCTTACAGTTATGGAGGCTAACAAGCCCAAGGTCAAGGGGCTGCGCCTGATGAGGAGGGGGCTAGTGTGCTAGCTCAGGTCTCTCTTCCTCTTCATATAAGACCACCAGTCCCCTCCTGTGCTGGCCCATTAATCCACGAATGCCCATTAAGTCACTCTTAAAAGAACCCTCTTCTCAATACTGCCACGTTGGATACTAAGCTTCAACATGAATTTGGGAGGAGGGCATTCAAACCAGGGCCACTCTTACATGTTGGCAGTGCTGAAAACGTGCCCCCACACGACGTGATTGTCCCTGTCCATTGCTGCATTGATCTTTCCACCGGGGAGGTGAACCTCATGGGCTCCAGTATTCCTTCTAGGCAGAGAGTTCTACCTTTTCAGTGATGCTATGACCAAAGGTGTACTAAGCCTGAGCTCTCAGGCACTGTTCTTTATTTTACATTCAGGGCGATAGCCACTATTCCCACAAAATATGTCATCCATGCTGGCATGACTGGGCTGGGAGGGCCTCCGACCACTGTCACAGACCTTATGCTATGCCTGGCTCACCTCTTCCCAGCACCACCCGATTCTCATTTCATAAACCCTCTGCAATTCATTGTCTCCTTCTCTCAGGGAAAATTCTCCCCTGGAGACCATTGATGTGCTTTCCCACTTGAAGGACTTCCTTGAGCAGAAGTTCTGGGCCTGGAACTGGGCACAGTTCTAGAGACAGCGTGTTTTAGTCTGTTTTGTGCTGCTATAACAGAATTCATTTTCATTATGATCAGGAAAAAGTAGTTTCTGACTTCATGGCCACACTTCTTTTTTGGGGGGGGGGGTAGAGTGGGGGACCACGAGCTTTATTGGCTGCAAGTTCTCCCCAGGAGTTTGGTCTGCTGGGGCTGGATGTTCCTGGATGGGGGCCCCCGGGCCTAAGCTCCAGGTTTCCTCTGGCCTTCCGAAGAATTTTATGGGTTACGACCAACTGATCAAAGATGACTTTCTCCTGGTGTTTGCTCAGCTGCAAAAGCTGCACAGTGTTTTGCAACTTCTTTTCTTGTTCAGACAGTTTTTTGTGCAGTTTGGTGATCTCTGCTTTCAATTCTCCAATCTGCCCGCAGTGAAGGTCACACTGGCCATCTGTGGGAAGTGAGACTCTCCAGAGAAGCTGCAGTTGCCTGGAGGCCTCATCCAGGATCAGCTTGGCTTCGCTCACTTGGGTGACAAACTTGCTTAGCCGCACCAAATGTGGACCCTTTGTTGCCAGCTCTTCACTCATCTCAATACATTCTTATGTAGCCCAAGTTTGTTAAAAGACTATTCCTGAGAGAAGATTGATGTAATTTACTGGTAAATATCTAAATTAACCTTTAGCCTACAAATGAAAGCAAAGGTGAGGAAATGAAAACTCCTTCATAGTTTTTACAGAAGCTTCTCCTGGCCCAGATCAGTGACGAGTTGCAAAGAGAAAGGCTGATTTTCCCTCCTGATGCTTCTGTTGTTTCAAACGACTCCTTCTGCCGTGATCCCCCAGGCAGCAAATGAAGCCATTGTCAAGTCTTTTCTTGTTCTCTCAATGGGCAATTACACATTTTTTTTAAGACAATAAATTTTGTTCACAGTGCAGCTGATTACATTCATTTATGAAAATGACTAAACACAATGAATCATAATTTTTTCTGTCTGGTTACATTAAGATAATCATCCGAGCCATAAGGGTAAGAGCAGTAGACCCGGAATCAGTTAACCCACCTCTTCCACCAACAAGCTGTGTGAGCTTGAGTGAATGACGTCATCTCCTCAAGCCTCTATTATCTGTGTGATAGCGAGAGTGATACTTCCCAGGACACTTTATCTCAGGGAGCTCTTGGGGGTGGCACCCAGAATGTTTCCAAGGAATTGGCAAATTTCTTAAGCTAGGATATGTATGTATGGGTTTGTCATATTATTGACGATTAAATTGCTTGTAAACATTTTATATATTTGTGATATGTATATTTCATGATCAATTTCTAAGCAACCAATAAATACCTGTTGACATACTTAACAAAAAGTGAATCGAGTATGAGTTTTCCTCTGGATCGCCTAGCAAATGGAATAAACCTAGATAGAAGATAAAATCATGTTTTCCCTCAAAGCAAAACATGTACTTTTTAATAATAGTTTAATTGAAAGAGCAATCAGTGAAAATTTTAAACAAAAGAAAGGGCGCATCATGCTTAGTCCAGCTCCTTTCTGCCCCAGCCCCCCGTGCCTCTTCATTGGAGGTTTTTTAGATCTGTCTCCAGAAATATTCCAGAAAGACAAAAACAAAGGATTTTAAAAGGGCAGCAAGAGAGAGGCATATGGAAGTGTTTGTGTGCATCACAATTTCACATGAATAAAAACATGTTCCACATGCTGCCCTATACTGTGTATCTTTTCGTGTACCTTAGAGATCTTCCAGTACCAGCCTATGGACTTCACACGATCAAATTTGGGTTTTGTGAAGCTCACTGGAAGCAGTGTGGAGAATGGGAAGGGGGCTACCATGGGTGTGGGCAGACCGGGTGTCAGGCTAACACTGCATTTTGGTGACGTCCCACCCCAAGTGGTCATCCAGGGGGAATAGGCAGCCTCCATAGGGCCATTACCATCTAGTGACTGTCTCCACATGCCAGGTACTGAGCAGGTCAGCCCTCTAGGTGGTGCTTACATTATTTACATCTGCAGAGAAGGAGGCCAAATTGTCACGAGGTCAAGCACCTCATCCCTGCTTGCCCAGTTAGTCAGTGCTCATTCCTAACCCCTAAACTCACCACCCCTTTTTATTCAGGCCCACAGATTGAGCCCTTTAGACATCTCAACACTGGTGGGGGTGGGGGTGGGGTGATTGTTCTCTGCTTGTCTGACTAAAGGGCCAGCCAGGGCTCACTGCCTGCTGACTGTCCCTGATCATCCTGTCTCCCCTGCAGGTCCGAGTGATGGTGGACCTGTGCAACAGCACCAAGGGCATCTGCTTGACAGGTAGGCTGCCACCACGACCCAGAGCACTCACACAGCCACCACGTGTGCCAGCCAAAGGGCCAGAGGTAGAAGCAACACCTAGGGACACTTTGTGTTCTAAAAATACATGTGGGTTTATTTTACGAGATGTTTTTAATGAGCTAAAAACCAATTGTAATATAATTGTGGAAAATAATAATATTTCAATATTGTCATAGAAATATAGCCATGGAAAATAACGAGGGTGTGTTTTAATTAGAAACGTATGGTACCTTGAACCGGGGCCATAGATATTTTTCTTATTCCCATTAGTTTTAAAAGAGGAAAAGAAAGAAGGGAAAAGACCTTGCTAAGTGGTAGAGTTCTCTTATCAGGAAGAGTTATTTCCCCACATCATCTATGTGGCACAAACAGGAAGATAAGCAAGCCAGAAGATGCTTTTTATGAAAAGACTTCTGCACGGTGCAGACCATGTTCTCATGGATGTTGGTCTCACCCTGCTCCCTCCACTTGATGGATCAGAGACACACAGACAGGGGGAAGGAGACTGACCAGGATACACATCAGGGACGCACAGACAGGGGGGGAAGGAGACTGACCTTGGGACGAGGAATGGCTGCTGGATGGGAAAACAAGGAGGAGCATGGCTTTGAGATGATTACCCCATACCTGGGTCTGACAGAGTCCAGCATCTTACCTGGGGGAAGATGCCTTCAGAAGCTGGGGTTGAGAGAAAACATAGGTCCCCTAGTGGTCACTCATCATTGGCTCCCAAGCCAAGGAAGGCTCTGGCCAGGCCATGGATGAGCCTACAGACCCTGATTTCAGACACTGCCTTTCCTGCTGCACCAAAGGAGGTGCAGCATTCTGAGGGAACTGGGGAAATTATTTTCACATTAAAACAGTGCAGTTGTCCCTTCGTATCCATGAGGGATTGGTGCCAGGACCCCCAATTATCCCCAAATCCGTGGGTGCTCAAGTCTCTTACATAAAATGGTATAGTATTTGCCTTTAACCTATGCACATCCACCTATATACTTTAAATCATCTTTAGACTACTTGGAAGACCTAATTCAATGTATATGCCACGTATTATTTTCTTATTTACGTTACTGTATTTTTTTTTAATGTTTTTGATTTTCAAAAAATGTTTTCCATCCTCAGTTGGTTGAATCTGTCATTGGGAAAGCAATAGTTTCCGAGGCCTGACTGCATATTGGGGAGTGTTGGCAGTGTTCCCTGGACTTTAATACACAACCACAAGGCTTTGAGGCCTCTGAGTTCACGGCCCCAGGCCCTGTTAGAGCCTTACAGGGTTGAGGAACCCTAGACAGCAGGTATCCGATTGTGAGAAACCCAGCCCTTACGGGCAGTTTTCTCCTCAGTCGCTTTCATCACCTGCCACATTAGAAGCACAAACTAAGTTTGCTGAATGACTAAACCAGTGGTTTATGTGAGTGTGTGAACAGAGATGGTGACCTGGTAAGAAAGAAGCTTCCCTCAGGAACTGCAAATCCAAGTCTGACTCCCATCTACTTATTTTGGCCTCAAAGAGAAAAACTATAATCCTGTGGCTTCTTGGGAAACGCTAATTGAATGAATCAAGTTATATGTCAGCCCTCTCGGAAAATTAAATATCTTCAGAACAGCTTGGTCCTTTATTCCGAAACTCTTGTGGCTTAAGCATCTTTCTTCCATCTCTGGAAGCCCCTTTTCAGAGTTACGTGTGACAGTAATGAGTGCTTGAGAAATGAATAGATGGAATTACAGGCACAAAAGCCTGTCGAGAGGCACAGGAAAAGCCTCTTCCTTTTTTGATTTTTATAGTCATAGACCTGAGAGCCAGGCTGAACAGTGAATGCGTGGGATGGAGCTATTGAGACCACTTAGGGGAGGCTGGCTGGGAGCTGGGGAGTGGGGGATCCACGCTGGAAATGGGTTGAGTAGGTTTTTCTTTGGCACCTCAGAATGCTTTTCAAAAGTCAGAGCCTTCTCCTTTCTTGCCAGCTTGAAATTGGGCCTCTTTTGACACAGAAAGTTCTTTAAAATTAGGTGTGAAAAGTATAAGTTGCAAAGAGAGAAGATGCCCGGGGGTAAACCACACTGTCTGGATTGGGGGTGGGGGCAGAGGACAATGGGAGGGATGTGAGGGCACCCAGGGCTGAACTAGGCAACTCCAGGGAGTGGGCAGAGAGCCTTGGTCTAGAGCCCTGAGAGGATACCTGGCAGGACGAGTCCCCACGGCAGAACCTGGGCTTGGGACCCCGGAATAGTTTCCAGCTTACGCTGGATTCATCTGTGAAAAAGCAGGTGCTCATAACTTGAAGCTGGTCCAGCCGTGACCACGACATCTTGCTATGGTTGCTATGGCAACCAGAACAGATGCTGTGTGATTTTGCGAGGCTTGTGACCTCTCAGGTGAATAGTGAGGGTAATTCCCTAGCCAGAGCTGTTAGGTGTTTCTGCTAGTACGGTTTTATCAAGCCAAGATGTCCTTGGGACCTTGGAAGCATCTCTTCTGGAAGAACCTGTGTCTTAAAGATGGCATGTTCTTGGGTTATTCTTCACTTACTGTGTTTTCTATGTGTGAACTTGTTGGAAAAGTCTAAACCATCCCGTTGCTGAGCTCTGTTGGGGCAGACATGCTTCAAATCTATAGCACCCATTGTCTCTGCAGCCAAGTGACACTAACCCTGTGATAGCATCTGTCACTCCTCTCACATCCTGTACCTAGGCCAATGTCAGTAGTGGGTCATGGCTGCTGCTGAGCACGGGCGCATGTCTTTCCTAGTGTTCTACTTCTGATTGGAATTGACATTTCTCTCTGCAAACTGACAGGTGTTTACTGTACTTGGCCATTCACAGACCTCAGGGTCACAAAACTAGGGGCATCATGGGCCAATTTTAGATTTCTTTCTTTTTTTTTTTTTTTTTTTTTT